GCATTGTGTGAGGGCCGGTGAAGTTTTGGTGAATGGCGACGGGAGTCTGCTGACACTCACACACGCACATGCTAACGCACACACACACATGCTGACGCACGCGCACGCATGCTGACACACACACATGCTAACGCACGCGCACGCATACCTCACAAACACGAACAAACATACACACACACACACACAAACTGTCGCCACCATGCCACCATGTTAGGACGAGCACCACGCCAGCTGCACCTTGCTGGACGCAGGGAGCAAACTGCTGTTCAAAGACAACGTCGTCGATTGTGTACGAGTGGCGCGCCTGACACATCAACGCAGCACGACAATACCATCACCGCCATCATCACAATCGTTAGGACCAGTCACGTGCAATAGGAAGCATTGTCGTGTGGGGTGGAAACCACACAGTGAATGCAGGTATTGTGCACGAGTGTATATGTGTGTGTGTGAGCGAGCGTATGTGTTGGTGGTTCTACCTGTACTGTATATGATGTTGCAGCATCAATGCCTTCGACCAGGCAGAGGACCTGGAAGGGCGTGCATGGAAATTGGCCAGTCCATCAATGAGACTCGACACATCAGGGACCCACCGCAACTCGACAGCCAAACAAAACCCACAATGAGGCAACACCATTGCTCAAGTTGACACAGCAGCACTGCAGTGCAATGCACTCATGTGTGTGTGTGTGCGTGTTTGCGTGTGCGTGCGCACCTCGATGTTGTCTCGCTTGAACTTTTCAATGATCTGCTCCTTTGTAGTGACAGCAGGCGCCCTAGTGAGGATGCATGTGTGTGTATGTGTGTGTGTGTGTGAAATGTGTAAGATGCATGTGCCTTAGACTGTGCAACGCCACTGGATGGCACAGGTGTACATTCGAGGAGGTGACACAAGCGCAGCAGCACTCTTACCTTTTGCTTTTCGGTTCTCGTCCTGCAGCCGACAGCAAAACACACACACACACGCACACACATACACACACACGCACACGCACCACACACCGCAAGCATCAGAGCACATAGTAATGCAGGCAGACACTGATTGGCAAACCACATGTCCATTCGACACAACACTGCGACCAGCATGCAACGATGAAGGTGCACCGGGTACACCACATGTCACCTTGCAGTTGACCACAACAAACACATCGTCAACACAAAGACATGCCGCGGTGGTGCGCACCTCCGTTCTCGACGTCCACGACGCGCATGAGCGGTTCCGGAAACTGAAACGACGTCGACGGATCGTGCTCGGAGCCTGTTGGGACGGGCGGTGGGTGGGGGAATGTGTGCACATAGTATGATTACTGTGCTGCGTTGTTGGTTTGTGCGATTCTTTGTGTGGTTGTGTGTGTGCGTGTGTGTGTGTGTGCGTGTGTGTGTGTGTGTGTGTGTGTGTGTGTGTGCTGTGAACAAACGACAGCACAGCGCCATCAGCACAATGCACAGCGCCATCAGCGCACCGTCGTGTGGTGTTGGCATGAGTGGGCTCCACGCGTCAATGCGATGCAGCACTTGATCTGGCAGCGACAACAGCAGCATTCCACCCAGCTCATCCTAGTGGCGCCCACATGCCCATGCGCAGGTTGAAAGGGGAGCGTGAGGTGCAGGGTTCAAGGGGTGGAAAGTACACACAAACGCAAGGGCACACGTACAACTCCATGTGTATCGCACACACAATCATGTACACAAACAGATAAACACACACACAAGACACACACACACACAAGACACACACATACACAAGACACACACACACACACAAGACACACACGAACACACAACGGCTTCATACGTTTGGATGGGTGAGACGCATTGCATGGGACTGGAACCAGACATGCGTTGGATCAAGCGGCGGTGACGATGATGACGATATGGTTCGTGCAGGCCCACTCGATCGTGGCACCGCTCGCCCGCCAGATGACACAGTGCGGTGGCGAATCGCATCTGCACACACACACACACACATGGTGGAGTGGCACATTCAAGTGAGCTGGCGTGACTTGCAGACGTGTGTGTGTGCATGTTTGTGCTTGCGTGAACTGTGAGAGTTGCATGTGCACGTCGCATGGTGCAACTGCTGTATCACTTACACATGCGAACGTGGGCTTCAACGAGCGCGTACTTCTTGAGGTCGCACACCTGAAACAGAAAGTACCACTGTCGTTCGCGTCGCGGGGGCCGGAACAACACCGCAATGACGTGAGCGCACATGTGAAATGAAGATGCGACCACGATGAACACAGGCCAACAGACCAAGACAAAGTCAACGTCTCCACTGCAACCAGGGTTGTCGTTCTCACCACAGACAAACGCACACAACGATGCATACATGCACACATACTGACAGTTCAGACGACAGGGCACATGCACACGCACACATTTCACACGCACACACACAAACACACACACACATTCACACGCACACACACACGCACACACACGCATACACACACACGCACACACGCACACACGCACACACACACACGCACACACGCACACACGCACACACGCACACACACACATTGTTGCCGATTTGACGGATGATGGCGTTGTTCGAGAAGACGATGGTGAAGGAGCGGCGATTACCGCGACTGATGCGGGCAAAGATGAGCCCGATGCACAGCGCGTCAATGAACAGGCCTGCTGCACTCTGTGACAGCACGACAAAAGGGCCAGCGAGGCAGCCGTTGAAGTACGGGCTAGGCACGCCATATCCTGCAAGCGGAACATGCGTGTTCGTGAGTTGGCGTGTGAATACAAAGCACGGTGGAAATGAGGAAATAAAAACACACCGTGCTCGCTGTATCAAGCGAGACGAAAGAACGTGCAGTTGCATGGTTTTCTTCCATGAGTTGCATGCACGGATTCATGTGAAAGAAAGCACAAGCAGAGGCTTTCCCATGCAAAGACCTTGTGAGTATAATCAACCCCTTACAGATTTCTGCACAACAACACACACACACACTTACAACACACACACGCACACGTGCGTACCGATTGTGGTGAGGGTCTCGATGCTGAGCATAAAGGCGTCTTCAAAGGTGTGAAGCTGAAGGTCACAGGGCTCGGATATGAGGTGGTACAGGCCGGCCCAGAGCAGGACGGCAGAGACGTAGATGACCAGCAGCACCAACCCAATCTTCAGAGAGGACATGGTGAGGAGGGTGTGGAACCAGTCCCGCATATGTAGCGAGGCAACAGCCGCCCGTGGGATGATGCGGCGCATGTTGAAGGACCCTCTTGATTGCTGTCATCGAAGGTTTGCGTTAGCCCGAGGGCAGTCCATGATGAGAGGGCACCAGAAACAACTTGCCTTCGACTCATGTGTGCGCGTGCAATAGCTTGTAGCACCCACACGAGCACAAGCTAGCCCGCTCCAGCACACACTGACACAGAAAGAGAGGGAGAGAGGGAGGGAGAGAGAGAGAGAGATAACGGAGAGAGAGAGAGAGAGACAACACAGAGAGAGAGAGAGAGATAACCCACACAGACAACACTCACTCATTCATATGCACACGTACTCCCACCACTCCAGCACACATAGACACACACACACACACACGCACATACACACTAACACGCACACGCTCACACACCTTGAACAGCCCTCGCCTATCCAAGAATCTCGGTGCTTTCGCCTCACCGCCGGTGCTCGAGCTCAGTCGTCTAGAGCGAATATATCATGTGTGTTCACCAAGTAAGTACAAGGTCAAAGAACAAGTCAGCATGTCGATGTGCAAGTGCCATCATTCATATAGCAGTGTGCCAATAACCTTCCTCCTCGCTCTCCCCTCTTACTCTCCTCCCTCACTCTCCTCCCTCGCACCAAGCCCCTTCTCTCCCTTCTCTCCCTTCTCTCCCTTCTCTCCCTTCACGCACTGACATGCACGCACCTGTACCACGGGCGTCGTTGTCGAACAGCACGTCTTCGGCGATCACCTGCCGCGCCAGCACTATCAACACCACCAACAATAACGCTGCCATTGTGATCATCGTCGTCTTCGCTGTCGCCACTTCCTCCTGGCGCATTCACAGACCCCAGCAACAGCGGCATGTTCGCATGCGCGCTGTCACCATCATCATCATCACCAGCACCGTTCGTCATCGCCTGTTGTCCTCCCAATGCCGAAAAGTTGCCGAAAATATCTTCAAATGCTCCACAACGTGGGTGGGCAGCCAAGAACAACGATGGTGATGGTTGTGGCGATAAGAGTGGCAATGCTGCGATGCGCGACAACAGCAAGGATGACAGCGTTGGCGGCTGGTGTACGCAGCACTCACAGCAGGTGCGGATCAACAGGGAGGACGACAGCAATGGCGTCTTTAAGCAGGATACAGGCCGCCCAGTTTGCGGCGCGGCTCTCCACAGCCGCATCGAAAGCCGCACCCCACTGCACCACAACGCCTCCTTCCACGCACCAGCAACAACAGCAACAGAGACAGCTGCAGCAGCACAGGCAGCACAGCCACACCCGAACTCTGACTTTGTTATCTGCCCCCGGGACAGCAGGAGCGATGCCCATGCGGAGCCAGCGCGCAGCAGGCACGACCACAGAAGCAAAGGACAGTAGCAAAGTGCTGTCCTTGCTGAAGCAGGGCAAAACGGTTGATGTGCAAACCATCATTGCTGCGCTCAAGACCGCTGCCGAGCAGCGCCAAACAAACGAGTGCCACATGCTGTTCGACTGCCTTTCGGAGCGCGGTGTTCGCCCAAAACTGGCCCAGTGCAACGACGTGATCAAGGCATACGCCCAAACGGGCCGCGTCAAGGCCGTGCACAAGCTGATTGAGCGCATGCGCCGCGAGGGCTACGACCCAAACGCCGTCACGTTTGAGCTCCTGTTCCTCGCCTTTGCCCGGAGCCCGTCCTCCAAAGGCCTCGAGGCCGCCTTGGAGCAATACTTGCTCTCAGAAGTGGAGATGACACGTGAGCTGTGGACGAACCTGCTGCGTGCCTTTGTTGCCCGCAAACTCGTCGAAGAGAGCCGCTGGGTGTACAACGAGTGGCGGCAGAGGTTGCGGCCGTCTGTGCACATGCTCAGCACCCTGTGCCGCGACTGCAGCGAGCGAGGGCTGTGGGAGCCAGCGCTGATGTGGTTTCGCGAGCTCATGACCGAATATGCGACCCGCGTCAAAGCCCACGCAGACAACACAACCACAGCCAACTCCAACCTCACCAACAACGCCACCCGCAGCGGCGGCGATGATGCACGTGCTCGGTTTGTCACAGCATATGAGGACGTGCTGCTGGTGCTTGCACAGCACGGGCGAGAGGCCGAGCTGACTGCCTTGATTACGGACGTGCTTGAATCGAGCGAGCCGCCGCTCATCGCCGCTGCGGACGCGGACATGCGCGCCATCAATGCCGTGCGCAGCATCACTTCCGGTGCTGTTGATGACAGAACGCAAAAGAGGATCATCCAGATGCTGTCGGAGCAGCCTGCGGTGTCGTTGCAGCACCTGCGCGCCATCACGCGCGCCCTTGCCAAGGCAGGCCTGCCAGGCGCCGTGGACACGGTCATCTGCGAACGCGAGCGCCTTGAGCAGCCGCTCTCCCTCACAAACTTCCACGATCTACTGCGCGCACGGGAGACAGCAGCAGCGGCCGCCAAAGCGCAGAAGGACAGCGCCACAGCTTTGCACGCGCACACGTACGACACCCGCTTTCACGGGAGTAATGACGTCAGCAGGGAGGATGACGCGTCCTTTTCTCCGCACGATCTTCTGCAGCGCATAAGCAGGGCTGGTCTGAGTCCAAACGCGTTTACGTTTGCCGTGCTGATGCAAGACCAGCTCCAGAGCAGACGGCCCAACGCCGTTATCCACCTGTGCAAAGAGATGCGCGCACTCGGCGTTCAGCAGACGGGGTGGGTCAACTCGCTGCTCTATCGTGCGAGAAAGGCCATCAAGGGGAAACACAGGCAGCGTGGACGCAGGCAAGCTAGGTGATTGATTTGCTCCTGCTTGGTTTGCTTTGTCGATTACGACGATAGGAGGGCAAGGGAAGGCGAAGGGGAAAGTTTGTGTATGTATGTGTGTGTATGTGTGTGTGTGTGTATGTGTGTGAAGAGAGAGTGTGTGTGTGGGGGGGGGGGAGAACGGGGTGTTTTGTGTTGTGTCTTGGAGAGGCAAGCAAGAAAGGGGTGTGGTTGCAGTAAACATTGAATGGACTGCTGTTTATTTCATACGCATACACGCGTACACACACACACACACAATCACACACACACAATCACACACGCATGCACGCACACAATCACTCCTTCGTTGCTGATGCCAAGGCAACAAGCAAGCAAACTAAGCAACCCAAACCCAAACGAAACCAAACACGAAAGACGACACAAGCACACTACCCTCAGCCCCGCGCACGACGCAGTGCACTTCACAACGGCACTAAGGGCGCGCGTCGTTCTTGCGGGACGGAGTCGTGTGCCGTCCGCTTCTCAGCGTCATGCCATGCGACACACCGCCGCTGCCGCTGCCGCTGCTGCCTTTCTTGCGCTTTGCTCGCGTGCGTCGTGGAGCAGCCCGGCTGTGCGTGTATTTGTGTGTGTGTGTGTGTGTGTGTGTGTGTGTGTGTGTGTGTGTGTGTGTGTGTGTGTGTGTGTGTGTGTGTGTGTGTGTGTGTGTGGTTGACAAAACGTAAGTAAGCGAGCGTGGCAACATCTGCATGCGTTACATCAAACCAACAAACAAACAGTCCTGTGTGATTGCACTGCACTTGTCTTTCCCACTCCCTTTTCCGCCTCCCACCCGTAAACTGTCTGCGCACCCTGGCTGCTGCTGTCCCTCCTGCGGCTTGGCTGCTTCGCCCTCGTGCCCGCGATGCGTTGTGGGCAGTGCAACAGGGCTGTCGGTCGACAGTCCAGAAACTCCAGCAGCGGTGGCCGTGGCAGCTCGCCCGCGTCCCTGCTGCGACAGAACAGAGAAGATGTGGCATGATCGGTGAATACGTGGGGAGGAACCACAGGGTGGGAGTAGGGCAGTGGCGTAGGCAAGTGGGCTCATGAGAGAAAAAAAAACACACTTGTGCAAAGCACACACACACACACACCACTCACACACACACACACACACACACACACACACACACACACACACACACACACACACACACACACACACACACATTCGCAGACAACGCACCACGCCGCGCTTGCGTGCGCTGAGTCGGGTGAGTGGCGGCGAGAAAGTTGGCACATCTGGAGTGGAGGGCATCTGCGGGGACGCAACAGCAACGGCGTGCGAGGACGCCTGGTTCGGGCGGCTCGGCGTCACGTGGACACGACGTGACACAGCCATGCCCGCCTCCGCTGCTGCTGCTGCTGCTGCTGCCGTTGTCGCGGGCTTGCCGACGTCAATGCCAACCACTTCGTCTTCGTCATCATCACTGTGCATGCCAACACCGTGGTGGTCGCTGTCGTGGTGATCATCACCATCATCGTCATCATCGCTCGACTGCATGCCCATGTGCATGGAACCACGCAGTGGGGTCGCAGCAAAGCTGGGCGCCTCAGAGAGTGGCGGCGAGTCGCCAACCGCCATGCTCACATCGGGCGAAAACGGCTCTGGCTGCTTTCGCTGTCCCCGCTGTTGCCGCAGCTGCGATGGCGGTGCTGCTGCTGATGGCGCTGTCTTGAGCGGCGTGGAGGAGACGGGGCCAAGACCACCGCTCTCCTTCTTCCCGGGCGGCGTCTCCCGCTTGCGACGCGGAAGTGCAATGGACGGTACGCGCGCGGCGCTGCGCGGGGTGGACAGGCGGGCACTGCGCTGCACACTGCCGGACTCCGGGCGAGACAAACGCACCATGGGCGACGAGGGCTTGCTGCTCACGAGCGGGGACGACACGCTCCCAGGCCCGGCCACAGCTGTCCTGGCCAGTGCTGGCGAGGATGACGATGAGGGGGACGGCTTGAACCCACCGCCGCCGCCGCCGCCGCTGCTGCTGCTGCTGCTGCTGCTGGCGCTGCGGAGTGAGTGCAGCAGATGGTGCCGCAGTGTTGCGCGCGCCTCATGCTCTTCCTCTTCGCCTTCCTTGTGCCCCTTCTCCGTGGTCGCTGCCGCCGCGGCCTGTGCGGTGAGCGGTGTGCGGGCGAGCGGGCTGCTCGGCGCCTTGCGCGGCGTCATGGCCATTGCCCGCTGCACGGATGGCATCACCAGCACAGCACCAGCAGCCGTCGTGGTCGCCGTCTCGGCCACCTCTTTGCTCGGCTCAGCCTCTTCGCGCTGCTGCTGCCTCTGTTCCTGTTGCTGCGGCTGTTGGTCCTCTTGCTCTTCCTCCTCCTCCTGCTTCTCCTCCTCCTCCTCCTGCTGGTGCTGCTGCGCCGGTGTCTGCGGAGAGAAGATGCCCATGTTGTCCGTCACGGTCCGCGTCGGCCCCACCCGCGGTGTGGGCAAATCCGTGCCGCCACGACCCGCTGCACCAGCACGCACAGCCTCCTCGGCAATGCTCACGTGTCGCCCGTCCTTGCGGTGGTGCGTGGATGGCGTGGTTGGCGTGGCGGGCGTGCTGTCGTCGTGGGTGCGGCTTGCATCGGTGCTGAGCATGCTTGCGTGGTGGCGGTCAGACATGAAGCTTGTCGAGGCCGAGGTGGAGGGCGTGCTCATCACCTTGGGCAGGTTGATGGTCACGTCATCATCGTCATCCTCCTCCTCATCATCCTCCTCATCATCATCATCCTCATCTTCATTGTCTTCCTCCTCCATTGCGGCTGCGCGTGGAATGTGTTCCTTGGACGTCTCTGCAGACGCGTCGGCATCTGTCGTCTCGTCCATCGCCATGCTCTCCTCCATAATCCCCTGCAGCGCACACGTATCACGCGTTTGTATGTGCACATGTGTGTATGTGTGTATATGTGTGTATGCGTGTGCATGCGTGTGTGCGAGTGCGTGAGGGTGTGTGTGAGAGTGAGAGAGAGCAGTAGATGGTTCGTTGAACCGACAGTCCACACCCATGAACATACGCATGCTGACACGCGCATGTCTTCCAACCAACCGCATGTGCAGCTCCAGCGAACCGCTGCTGCAGCGTCGGCGACGCATACTCCGGTGGCGTTGCCAACGCCCTGCATTCATGTAAATTGTGTATGCGTGCGTGTGTGTGTGTGTGTGTGTGATTGGGGGTGAATTGGGGCGCGCATGAAGCGTTTACGAGCGGTTGGGAAGGAAGGGCTGGACACACAATGGGGAAAAAAGGACGTACGCAAATGATGTCTCGTGCATGGAAAGGCGACGAGGTGTTGCGTCGGTGTAGTTTAGCCTGATCAGATGGGTGCAGCTGAGTAAGCAAAGGCGCCAAGGACATGCACGCACAAAGCAGCGCCGATCACGCAAGCAAAGACAGACAGGCAGACACACACACACACACACAGCACCGCGCACACACACACACACACAGACACAAACGTCGACAAAGACGCACAATCGCAAAACCACAACACCACACAGCAGCGCACCTTGATCTGGACTTTGGCCGGTAGTCGAGGGGCGTTGCCGGCGGACGAGCAAACCTGAACGGCAGAAATTGACACACGCGCACAGGCAACAAGCGCAGATGACGTGAGTTGGCAGGAAGGAACAAGGAACAAGAAAAGCGGTTGGCTGGAGGGGTGCATCGAAGATCCAAAACGCACACACACACACACACAACACACACGAAAATACATCACTCAACAGGACTCAGTCAACATCAAGCATGAGATGAGCATCACGTCCACGTACAGGGGCATCCTGGAAGGCTGCACGCGGTGAACAGCGGGGTGTGTCTGTGTCTGCATCTGTGTTGAGGTCGGCGCGCGCTTGAGAAGATGCGACATGGCAGGCGACGAAACCCCGCCATATGCACCAGGTGCTGTTGACGCTGCACTGGCAGCGGTGGCGTCGGGAACAGATGCGTCCTTGGTCTGGTCGAGTGATGCAACAAACTCGTCAAAGGGCATCTGGAAGGACGGGTTGTCCACACGCCGCGCCTACAGTACAGCAGCACCAAAGACACACGTGTCAGCACAACGCAGTCGTGGTCGCATGTGTTTGTGTGTGTGTGTGTTTGTGTGTGTGTGTGTGTTTGTGTGTGTGGGTGTGTTTGTGTGCGCGTGTGTGTGTGTGTGTTTGTGTGTTTGTGTGTGTGTGTGTTTGTTTGTTGGGTGTGTGTGTGTTTGTGTGTTGGGTGTGTCTTTGTATTGCGTGACTGCGTGAAGATATGCGGATGTGCGTGTATTGAACGCCAGGCAGGTCCATAGCCTTGACGTACGAGGTATTGCGGCAGCGCCGTCTTGTAGTTGTGCATGAGAGCGGCGCGGAACTGTGCGCGGTCCTCCGGCACATCCGAGCGCGCATTCAGCGCCTGAACACATACACATGCATCGCGGATTGTGGATGTTAACGTGGGCTTGTGTCGCACACAAAAGCAGCGCCACGCAGCAACACTTGTGTCTGTGTGTGCAAAAAGTGTTTGCGTGGAAAAACGCGCGCGTGCATGTTTGTGTGATTGCATCATGTTGGCTTGCTTGTTTGAGTTTGGTGTGCATGCAAGAGGGACGTACATAGTGGACTTGGAACGCGTCGCAGATGCGAGACTTGAGGAGAAGAAACAGCAGCAGCGCTTCCTGTCGCTGCGACTGTGAGAAGAGAACACAGTCGTGAGCGGACATCATCGCGAGCGTGTGGAATAACACATGCCAGCCATTACGTGAAACCACACATACACACACACGCACACACACAGCACAGCAAGTACCCCTCCTTTTCACACAGCACAGCAGGCACGCACACACGCACATACACACACACACGCACCATGTGCACCACCACGTACAGATGTTGCATCGTCGCGTGCGAGGAACGACTGGAGCATTTGTCCCTCCTCCTCATCGAGTGGGAGATCAAGCAGAGACTTGACGGTCCGATCGTCCAGGCACCCTGCACCGCGACAAAGCACACACACACACACACACACACACACACACACACACACACACACACACACACACACACACACACACACACACACACACACACACACACACACACACACACACACACACACACACACACACACACAGGGGGTTGATGTCGCAGGTAAGAATGAAACGTGCCACAGGGGCAGTGAGCAAGAAGTTGCGGTAGCGGTGTTGCGCTGCAGGGCGCAAACGGCACCACGCGTGGCGCCAACGTCTCCCCAACGCCCCACGTATCCTGTTCCATGTACGCTGTCCCTATACGCAAGAAAAATAACAACAAGCCAGAGAGCACCAATGCATACGCATGCAACAGTGTTCGTACGTTGGAAGAGAAAGTCCATGGCTGCGGTGGTGTCGTGGCCTTGCTGGCGCGCTTGCCGCAGACGGGTGAAGCAGAAGGGAAGCTGGCTGCTGCTCAGCAGCAAGTCGACCATGGCCACGGTGTCGCCAGTCACGCCAAAGGAGCCCAGCATGCGGTGCTCGTGCGCCTGCCAGTACTTGAGAGCAAGCGCAGGGTGGCCGCGGCTACACAGGTGCTGCACAATCTGCACGTGCTGCTGCGCAAAGACGGGCACATCTGCCGTGCTCAGCAGCGCAAGGCCCTCCTGGTGGTGGCGTCGCAATTCAAGCAGCACGGAGATGCAGTGGAAGATGCAGGGAGAACGGAAGAAGAGGGAGACGGGCGGGAAGGCAGGCCGAAGGTGGGGAGAAGAAATGGTGAGGAGAGGTTGGTGTGGGGTGGGAGATCAAATCAGATGTGAGAGTCAAGATTGTGTGTGTGTGTGTGTGTGTGTGTGTGTGTGTGTGTGTGTGTGTGTGTGTGTGTGTGTGTGTGTGTGTGTGTGTGTGTGTGTGTGTGTGCGGGGGGGGGCAAGCGGCTCGCTGTCTGTGTGAGAGCAAGCGCATCGCCGGCAGCGACTGTCGGGCATGCTGAACTGAACGACACATATTCACACACATGTACGTCACACATACGCACACAAACACACGCATGCGTGATGACGTAGCAACACGGGCAATGCAACGTGCTGAGGGTGCAGGCGGAGATGAGCGCACGAACGCGCAGGGGTGCATTGCTGGCGTCACCTCAAAGTTGTCCTGGTCCATGGCTGCCACTCCGTCAACAAGGGCGACAAGATGGGTGGGGAGCTCCAACGCGTCCGCAAACGATAGCGCGAGACGGCGGTCGTTGGTGGACACGACCATGCGGTACACACACGCCAGCGCAACGCTGTTCATCGGCAGCTTCGACTTGAGAAACGCCTGCAGTGCCATAATGACGTGACGGTCGTGACGATCGTGACGGTCGAGGCAGGCGATGTGCACGCCAGGGGACGCATGGTGAGTGAGAGGAAAGTGGCTGAGACGGCGACATGGAGGCGATGCAGCCATGGACACAAAACACCAAACACGCATGACGAAACGCAAAGGAAAGAAATCAGCAGTCGTGCATTTTCACGAGCGACACACAACACAACCACGACGGATAGGAGAGGGAGGGGGCGGGGCGCAAGCGTACCCGAACGCTGGTGAAGTGCTCCTTGTCGAGAGCGACGGCGTCATTGCCATCAGCATCATCAACATCAGCGGCAGCGGCGCGAAGAACCTCTGCAGCCGCCATGCTGTACAGCGCCGACCACTCGCACAGCTGATGATCACGGCGGGGGTGGGGGTATGAGTTGGGGGGGGGGCGGAGGGAAGCGTGAGAAAGCAGCAACAGTGGTGTTGAAGATGCAAAACAACAACACAAGACATAGTCGTAAATCTGGCGTGTGTGTGTGTGTGTGTGTGTGTGTGTGTGATGTCAGCGGTGAAGTGTGAGGACTCACGGATTCGTTGAAGCCGTTCTGCTCGCACCAGGCAATCACTTTGAAGAGCTGCAGAAGCGAGAGAAAAACACGAAAGTGAACGCTTGCATGCTGTGTGTGTGTGCGGGGGGATGGGTGTCATGTATTAGCATACACGTGTGTACATGCACGTTCTTACGCGGATGCAGTCCTTGATGAGGGCTTCCTGCTGGCGAATCGTCTCGAGCGTCTCCTCAGATCCCGCCGTCCCGCTCAGTGTCTACACACACAAACACGCACGCACACGTTTGAGCATGCACAGAGGGAAAGGTGTAAGAGAGCCAGGAGCCCACGGCGCGTTAATGCAGAGCAACAACGAATCACAAACAACAATCATCCAACTGCGGGTGCACCTTGACGATGGCGGAGAGCATGACGAGAACGGGCTGGACGTCGTTGTCGGAGAAGGGCGTGCCTTGAAGGTACTCCACAAACCGACGCTTGCACACGCGCATGTACCGCCGCCAAAACGAAAGCAGCCAGTCCCAAAGCGAGCCCAGCGTGTCGTGGGCATGCAGGGTGCGCGCGCTCATAGGCAGGTTTGCTTGCGCAATGAGGTAGCGCGTGTATGCGCCAACAGCACCCGTCATCCCATTGAACATGAGCACCTCAAGGGCAGCACTGGCAGGCGTTGCAGGGCGGTGTGTGTGTGTGTGTGTGTGTGTGTGTGTGTGTGTGTGTGTGTGTGTGTGTGTGTGTGTGTGTGTGTGTGTGTGAGCCGGGGTGAAGGGGAGACAGAGAATGTGTGAGTGAGATGGAAAGAGAGAGAGAGAGAAGAGCGTGTGAAGACTTGGCGATTGTGTGTGGTCATGAGAATGTCCTGTAGCGCAACTGGCAAACACGAGCACAATCGCCATCAAAACGGTCACTGCAAGAGCTACGAGCAATAAGAACAGAGGTGGTACTGATGGTACGCACTCTCGCATGTCCTTGGGCGACTGTGCTGTGCCTGCGACGAGCCCGGCCTGCTTCAACCGCGCGTATGTCTCCTCGGGCTCACACAGCATCGGCACAGCAAGCGTCGACAGCCGCTGCAGGACCTGCAGTTCGAATAAAAAAGGAGGAGAGAGGAAATTGGGGACGGGGAGAAGGAAAGCAAGCATTGGGAGAGGAGAGATGTCGTTAGCTGTGGCGACCACACACACACTCACACACACACACACACACACACTCACACACATACACACACATACACATGTACAACACACAGACACAAACCACATATGCACACGTGTACGCGCGCACACATGAATGTGCAACACACATACGCACGCACACACACATGTACACGCATTACGCGAGGAGGAGCATACCGCCTCCTGTGCGCCGTAGCAGTGGACGTCGACGAGTGTGTTTGAGACGAGCAGCGTGCCCTGCAAGCTGACGTTACACGGCCACGGAATCGTGTTGCTCTCCGAAGTCGCCTGCGTCTCCTGCGTCCGCAGCAAGCAATCAAAACGAAGGACGTGAGCAGCGTTGTGTGGGCAGGAGTAACGTGGGCAGTAATTGGGAGCACGCGAGTGTCCGGGAATATGCATGTGTGTGCATGAATGAGTGCATGTGCGTGTGGAGCACATATGGTGTTGGAACGCAACAACACCATGACAATGCGGCGTTGCGAATGCACGCTTCGACTTCACTGACCTGCACCTCTGCACGGTTCTTGTGGTGATATCTGTAAATGGACGCCAAGTCCACCGAAAACGCCTACGCGACCCCAGCAGTCAGTGTTCATGCACACAGCAACAACAGGTGGTTACATGCTTGTGCAATCCTTCCATGTGCACACGCTTGCGTATGCGTTTGCATGCACGTGTGTGCGTGTATGTGTGTGTGTGTGTGCGTTTGCATGCACGTGTGCGTTCTGTGCTTTCCCATCACACACACTCTCTCACACGCATGCATGCACATTCGCTCACTCTCTCAGACACGCACACACACACACACATGCATGCACGCCCACTCGCTCCTTGTCTCTGTGCTGACCGGGGGCGCCGTTGGCTCCGCGTCGAGGTCCACGCCAACCTCGTGGCGAAATGCAAATGAAATGTTCTCCTCCCATGCCTGCAGGCAAACCACAACCACAACGCAATTACCCATGGATAGTGAGCCAAACATGCGTCGTGAGCGCGTGTCTCTTCACAGGAATGTGCAAACTGTCAAATGACCGCATGCGTGTACATATACACGATGTGTGTGCACGTACGCTGCTGAGGCGGGCGTCTTCATCGATGACGACAACGGCAACGTCGCAGCGGTTGCCCGTGCTGACGGTGATGGAGGTGGTAATGGTGATGATGTGAGCGAGGGCAAGCACACGGCAAGCACATTGTAAGGCGGCAAGCACAATGCAAGGCGGAAAGCGCGTTGCAAGGCGAGTAGGCGGAGCAACATACGTGGCCGCGATTGTGCACATGACGGTGGTGCTATCGTCATCGTCATCATCATCGTTGCTGCTTGACAAGGACGGTCCTGCACAGGAACATGACAAACACACACACACACACACACACACACACGCACACACACGCGCACACACGCACACGCACACACACGAGTGGACGCGAGCACACATGGCAGCAAAACATACAAACACACGGCCACGCAAGCACATACACGCGCGCACAAGCACATACAATCACACACGCACAACCACAGTGAGCAAATGAGGGAGCATGTTCAGATGACAGGGTCGGGTAACAAAGATGACGGCAGCAAGAAGAATGCAGGCAACGCACCGCAGACGCAAAGGCTGGGGATGGTGACGATGGTGCCGCTGTCGGGTGGCAGCTGCATCGTGTTGGCGAGCGGTGTGAAGTCCTCGTCGTAGGCGATGCTGTCATCTTGCACGTGGTACAGCTCCAGGGCAGGCTGGTTGCCGTGCATGGTGGCAATCATGATGTAGCGAGTGCCATCCGACACAATGGCATATGCCACCGCATCCACGATGCTGCTGCGCCGCCGTTCCTGCTCAAATTCTTGCACGCTGCACACACACACACACACGCAACACACACACGCACAAAAAGCAGGCGCAAGCATGGGTAAGAGGCGAGGTTGAGACATGAGCGTGGTGCTAAAATGAATCACAACAAGCCATCGCGTGCGTTACGCGTGTACACACACACACACACACTCGCCCACACACACGCACACACACACACACACGCAACGCACCGTTGGTCGCTGTTGAGGGAGACGAGGACGCCCTTGGTTGCGCCGAGGGCAAGTAGGGTGTGCAGCTGAGCACTGTATGAGAAGTGCTCGGGGAGCTGACCCAGATGGCAGACTGCCTTTGACTGCAAGGTGTGGGAGGAGAGGGGATCTGTGTCGATGTCCCAGGACCAGGGGTGGTGGTCTGCAAGGATCGGTGTGAGGTCGAAGAGGGCAAGCTCACCGGACCGGGAGGTGGCGGCGATGCATGCCCTGCTCTGCGGCATGGCTGAGGGCGGCTTGCCCAGCCAGCACACGTCCACGAGTGGCTGGTTGATGACGACGCCGCGAGAGAACTGCTGCGTGGGGAGGCGGTGCAGGCACATCATGAACGATACATCCTCAGCGGACCGCAGCACGAGCAGCACCTGCATTGCTTCCAGGGACGACGCCGCCACGGTGCTGGCCGTGTCCAGGACTGCGACCAGGGCGAGTGGCGCCAGGGTGATGGAGTGCATGGGCGACCCCGACAAGGTGGATGCGAACGACAAGGTGCGGCCATCGTACGCCCACGCAACTTGGCCCTGGCACACGATGCCCTGTGAGGACACGCGGGGTCCGAGGCCAGCCGCACCCAGCGGCCGGACCGCCCCAACTGCGCTTTCCGTACTGGCCATCACTCGCGTTTCTGACAAGTCCAACCAACGGTACGACGCTGCTGCACGTGCGTTGTCTTGCTTCTTCCGCTTTCTGTCGACCCTACGACACACACGTGTGCGCGCGTGCGAGTGAGTGGATGGGTGCGGATGAGAGGGGTGCACAGCAAAGCAAAGAAAGAGAAACAAAAAGGGCAGAGTGAGAGAGACAAGTGCAAGATTAAGAGAGGAGGAGGGCGAGGCACGCACGACGACAGGCACGACGATGACAGTCGGGTTCAGCGGCACACACTCGACCACGCACCAATCACCGCCGTTGCAGCTGAACTTCTTTGCGACAGCACAAAAACTGTCTGCTGTCAGAAATGACAAGCTCGAGCCTGATTTCAGTGTATGGACGGATGTGGGTGTGTCAGCAGCACGGGACGTGTTTGCCATCCAACCTCCCTCCCTTCCCTGCCTCCCTTCTTGCTTCCCTTCCCTGCCTCCCTTCTTGCTTCCCTTCCCTGCCACATCACAGCATCACATCAACCCACGCCTCTTGCCACCGACGCTCTCAGTTTCGCATGAAGCTTCATGGTGTGATCATCTACTACCGTATGTACTTCGTCTACATCGCAGGTCATGGCGGTGCAAACCCTCACTGATACAACAAGCTGACACAACAAGCACGCACGCGTGTGACATCAGTCAGTCAATGACAATGAGCTCCTGCTTCTTGGCTGGCTGCTGCTTCATGAGACGCTTGAGGGCGTCGGGCATCTTGCTGGTGCACTTCTTCCTTGTTGTGGGTTTCCTCTTTGTTGTTGGCTTCTGCCTCGGCTGTGCCTCCGTCTTTGGCTTCTTGCTGGCGGTGGTGCCGGGATTTGACGAGGTGGCGTTCGGGTCGGCAGCCGCTTCCTGCTTGATGTCGCGTCCACCCCGCTTCTGTTGTGCTGCGGCCTTGCCCCTGGCCGTGTTACCCCTGCCCGTTTTGCCCCTGCCTCTGCCTCGTCCCGTGCCTCGGCTGCTGGCTGTGGATGCAGAAGGTTCTGGTGCTGCCGCCGTGTTTCCAAAGACGGTGCCTTGATACGAGGGCATCTGCCCGCCGCCAAACGAGGACGTCTAGTTTGTGGAGTCATGAGGGAGGGAAAGCAAGGAGGGTGAGCAAAGCGGGAGGGTGAGCGCACGAACACATACATGTGCAACCATCCAAGCACAGAAGCAAATGCTCCTTTCAACACACTCGCAAACATGTAAACAGCCCCGTCCCTTGCCCCCCAACACACACACACCTGCATAAACTGCGCGGCGGTCTGAAACCCTGCCGCCGGGTTGATGGAGAGCCAGGACGCGCTGGCGCCGTCAGCAGCAGGCGCGGAGACGGAGGAAGAAAGGGACGGCCTGGCCTGCTTTGTTGGTGCCGCCGCTCCCTTTGATGATGTCGCATTTGTTGCCTTTTGTCGCTGCTGTTGGTGCTGCTGCTGCTGCTGTTGGTGCTGCTGCTGTTCAGCCAGGAACGAAGATGCCGATGTAAAGGCCGGGGTGGCGGTCATGATGGACGCGGTTGGCGAATACGCCCTCGAGAAGGAAGACGACGACGATTGCTGGGCGGCAGACAGGCTCCAGCCGCCTTTGGTGCCCCGGCTGCCGGACGCCTGGAACCGCGCACGCCGCTTCGACGCGTGCGATGGGCTGGAGGATGACCGCTGCAGAAACGAAAACCTCCCACTACCACTGCCATAGCCAGCATCGCCGCCACTGCCAGCACCATCATCGCCATCGTCATCGCCACCGCCCCTCGCCTGGGCCGCTGCCAGAGCAGCGTCCGCCTTCTTTTGGATGGCGCGCGCGGCCTTGAGCGTCGCCGCAGCATCCACTTCGCACCGCGGCTGTACCAGCGCCTTCAGGATGCCCACCGTGCACGCAAGCGTGCGGTCGGACACAGACGGCTTGACGAGCTCGAACATGCGCTTGGAGATGAAGCGGCTCACTTCGTTTTCGCTGCTGTAGCCGTACGCCCCGCCCCTCCACAGGCACCGCGACATGTGCAAGTAGTACTTGGCCCGCGTCAGCGCAACCTGCAATATATGTATGCGTGCGTGTGTGTGTGTGTGTGTGTGTGTGTGTGTGTGTGTGTGTGTGTGTGTGTGTGTGTGTCACAAAGACACACACACGTTCATCTCACATACATGAAACACACAGTAGTAAATACAACACGCGCACTTCCCCCCCCCCCACACACACACACATGCACACATTTCCACCCCACCCAAGCACCACACATGTGAGCGTACATAGAGGAGGCGGCGCTCCTCCTTGAGCCGGCTGCTGTCGCCCTTCTTCTGCACTTCATCAAGCGCATGCGAGTGCGGCAGCACGCCATCCTCCACGCCAGGAACAAACACCACCGCCCACTCCCGGCCCTTGGCAGAGTGGATCGTACTCAGCGTCACGCAGTCCTGCCTGCTCTGGTTTCGCTCCAGCTTGTCCGAGCTCGCATACAGCGACACGTGCTCAATGAAACTGCTCAGCTTCGACATGTCACCATCGTCGTCGTCATCATCGTCATCGTCGTCATCGTCATCGTCATCGGTGTCACTTGCGTCATCGTCACGTTGCTGCTGTTGTTGCTTCAAGTTGTCGTCTTCTCCTCGCTGCTGCTGCTCCTCCTCCTCCTCCGCCTTCACACCATCGTCATCGTCACCGTCGCCACCACCGGCACCGGCGCCGTCGCCACCATCGTTGGGGTTGCCGCTGTGCGATTCGTGTTCAAATTCGCGGGTGAGGGCGAGCAACTCCTGCACGTTCTCCCACTTGGACGCGGCGGTAGCTTTGTCCGTGCTCTCCAGGTGCTCCTTGTACTGCACCTGCTTGAGAATGTCCAGCAGCACGTGTGTGGCCGAGTGGTCCCCCTGTTGGTGCTTCCTGATCAGCGCCACCAGCGACCCCAGCGCAGCACGCGTTGGCCGCGGGCACTTTATCCTGTCGGGCGCGCCTCGCTTCGCCTGCAGGCCTTTGGTGAGGGCGTCCCACAGGGAGCAGTGGTTGCGCAGGGCGTTTGCCTCCAAGGCCTCCATCAGCTTTGGGCCTGCGCCGCGCTTTGGGGTGTTGATGATGCGGGCAAGGGAGATGTCGTCGTGCAGGTTGTGCACAAGCTTGAGGTAGGCCATGCAGTCGCGCACCTCCGCGCGGTCAAAGAACTTCAGGCCGCCCACAATCACATACGGGATGCCCACGTGCGTGAACGCCTACTCGGGCATGCCAGCAGTGGTGGGAGATCGATAGAGAGGGTGGGCAAGCAGGAAGCCGGTGATGTTGTTGGTGCATGATCAAAAGCAAAGTAGAAGCGAAAGCTTACGCGCGCACACACGCACACACACACGCACACACACACGCACACGCACACAAACACATACACAAACACACACACACACAAATATACGCAAACCTGTTCGAGGCTTCGGGTCATGGCGTTGGTTCGCACCAACACGGCAATGTTGCTGAAGGTGATGGCTCCTTTTTGGTGTTGGGTACGCCAAGGTTGTGAGCAGGGGTGAGGGTGTAGACAAGAGCATGATGAGGTGATGGGGATCCGGGAGACAAGGGGGCAACGCAGAGGAACAAGTCAGAGGAGCAGGTGGCATGCCACGTGCTTGCATTGTCACGGCGTACCTTTTGCAGACTGCAACACCCGCGCCGTTTCCTTGGCGATGGAGCGTGCTTCGTGCATCGGAGACTGTGTGTGTGTGTGTGTGTGTGTGTGTGTGTGTGTGTGTGTGTGTGTGTGTGTGTGTGTGTGTAAAAGAGAGCGTGTACATACATGTGTTTAAATGTATGTAAATGTGTGTGTGTGTGGTTGCACCATCTTGAACAGCTGTGGCATCAACCAGGCATGCGTCCACAGCGCAATCACCAGCGACAACAGAAGAAGAATAATCAACACACGTCAACCAAAGACCAACACATTTTCAACCAGAGGCAGCATGCAAGGTGCCCACGTTGTATGTGGCAAAGACGACGGGTGGCCCCCCGCCGTTTGATGTCCAGAACTTGGTGTCGCGCTGGGAGGCGAGGCAGAGCGAGCTCAGTTGGACAATGGCCTCTGTGGAGCGGTAGTTGCGGCCAAGTCCAACAACCTGACACCCAGCAAAGTCCCGCTTGAACTTGCGGTACCCGTCCGCCTGCGCCTGCCGCCAGCTGTGCACAGACAACGAGCCAGTGTGTGTGTGTGTGTGTGTGTGTGTGTGTGTGTGTGTGTGTGTGTGTGTGTGTGTGTGTGTGTGTGTGTGTGTGTGGGTGTGTGTGTGTGTGGGTGTGTGTGTGTGTGGGTGGGTGGGTGTGTGTTGTGCATGTGTGTGTGTGTGTGTGTGTGTGTTGTGTGTGTGTGTGAGGGTGTATGTGTTGTGCATGTGTGGGTGTGTGGGTATGCGGTGAAAAGTGTACCGCGTCAGTGTATAGTGCATGCTGTGCAGCATGCACCACAGCCTGTGTACACGTGCTCACCTGTAGATGGATTGGTTTGGATCCCCAACGACGGTGATATTTGCGTTGGCGGCCAATTTCGTGGCAATGGAGTACTGCACGACGTTCGTGTCCTAAAATCCCCCATAGGAACACAAAAGCAGCATGAATGAGCTACACACGTACGCGCACACAAACACACACACAAACACACACACGCACACACAAACACACACACACACGCACGAAGCACTGCACGAACGCACAAAGCACGCCCACACCTGAAACTCGTCGATGAGAATGTGTTGGCAGAAGCGGGTTACATGTGGGTGGTCTTCAAGCAGTTGGTTGAACTTGATGAGCAAATCATCAAAGTCAACAAAGCCGTGGTTCTGCAAGTGCCGCTGATACGGCTGTAGGAACGTCGCAGTCGTCCTATCGAGGAAGTGTGTGTGTGTGTGTGTGTGTGTGTGTGTGTGTGTGTGTGTAGTACAGAGA